GCAAATAGACAAGAACCTTACAAAGTCAAAAACCCAAACTTAAGTCAGCTCCTTTTCTGACTGGTGAAATTGAATTCCCATTCTACCTGCCTGCCCGAAGTTAGGATGGGTCTAGTGGGCATAGAGACATGGTAAGCAAGCAGAGAATCCTTTTCTGTTCTAAAGTGGGCCTGGTGGAAGACCCTGAAGCATCACCAGGAAGCACTCCCTGGGACTGCGCAGTCTCTGTTCCTACCTGTCCTGGTGTTTGGGCACAACTGACAACCATCAACACAGTAAGATCCATCAGAACATATTGAACTTATGGAGCTGCATACTCAGCTGGAAACAGAAAAATCAAAATTCACATTCAACCTATTTATACTTAATTGTATGGAGCTCAGTCTGGGAAAGTCTTCAATGTGAAATCCCAAAAAGATGATGTTAAGACATTATGATTTCACAACAAGCCACAAACCTAGGCCAACACTGGGGAAAAATAATTAAACAACTTCAGTTGTAACTCCTATTTCACATAATAATAAAAAATTATCAATTAACTTAGAAATAAAATTTCCTGGGCATCTGTGCAATAGACAATGAAAATACTCCTATGTTCTACACAAGCAAGCTCCTTCCCTCACAAAGTTTGCGGAGCCATGGATGGTTCAGGACAAGTCAGAGTGATAAGAGCAATGATTAGCAAAGAAAAACCAGTTATCTCTTAGAAATATGGAAGTCAAGAGAGACTTTTCACAACATATCATACCTCAGTTGAGGCCCAAACAGTGAATAGGTGTGAGAAGGAGAGTGGCCAGTGGACAAACGTTACATGCACCGGAAAATCATGGGCAGAGGCCTGGAGGTGAGAGAAAGCTCATCTATTTGGAGGAACAGAAAGAAGTTCATCATCAAGCAAGAAGCTGGTAGGGGGTGGCAAGAGTCCATGCAGGCAAATAAACAGAGATAAACAGAGTACAGATCATGAAGGGTAGGCAACCTGAGTGATTCTGAGGGAAATGGGAAACAACTGAAAGACATTAAGAAAGAAAGTCATAAATGTACTTTGGGATGCCAAAGAGGGTGGATCACGAGGTCAGGAGATTGAGGCCATCCTGGCTAACACAGTGAAACCCCATCTCTACTAAAAATACGAAAAATTAGCCAGGCATGGTGACACGTGCCTGTAGTCTCAGCTACTTGGGAGGCTGAGGCAGGAGAATCACTTGAACCCAGGAGGCGGAGGTTGCAGTGAGCCGAAATCACATCACTGTACTCCAACCTGGGCAACAGAGCAAGACTCCATCTCAAAAAAAAAAAAAAAAAACTTGTCTGATTGCGCCATGGAGAAAGAATTGGAAAAGATCAAGAAAAGGATCTAGGCAAGAGAAAAATGACAAACTGAGTTATGGCCATGGGAGTGGAAAGAAGCAAGCAGATTTAAGAGCCATTTAGAAGTTGGAAGAGAACAGACTTTATCAGGCAGACTAGTATAGTCATTAAGTTCAGACTGCTTGTGTTCATACCCTGGTTCTGACACTTACAGGGAAAGTTGTTTAATCCCTCTGCACCTCAGTCTCCCTTTCTGAAGAGCAGGCACAATAGTAGTAGCTGTTTATGGGATTATTATGACAGATGAGTGAGTTAATTCACAAAATACTTAGAAGAATTTGTGGAACATGATAAATGCTTTAAAAAATTGGCTTTTATTATTATTGAGTGTAACAGTCCGAAACCAGAAACACAATTATCATCAACTGTAGAATAAGATGTGGGAGGAAAAAGGAGGAAATAGGGATCTCACAAGGGAATTTAGCCTGGATAAATGAATGGATGATAGTAACCTTGCCAGTTATAGACCTGTTGCTGCTCAGCTCCACATCTACCCTTCAATGCATGCTTCGAGATAAGGGAGATGGACCCAGTAAGCATTTCTCCTTTGCATAAGGGATAATTTTAAGTTCCGTCAGTAGAAGGTACTGAAGGGTTACTAAAGCAAAGAGGTACTTTTCCTGATCTAATCATGCATCCACTTGCTTGCTTCTCTGTGTGCAGTGGCCAGTAGTGCATGTGGGGTCATCCAATGGTGCTCACCCCCATCAGGTTTCAGTGAGAGATTCCTAGGAGTCTCACAGATATTCTAGAAGTTGCCTGGCCTACCTACATTCCAAAAGGTCTCCTGCTTGAGACTACAGATAAGTTCTGGCCTGGAGCAACACAGCAAACCTCCCTGCCATCACACTTTCTCCAATATGATTTAAATTCCAACCAGCTTGTTCTTTCCTTGGATATTGTCTCTCAACTGTAGTATATTCTTCACCCCTTTATAGTTAATTTCCTGTTATGATTAATAATTATTTATATTAATCACTTTCTGTTCAAGTTACTGTGTGTTTTCTGTCTCCTGATTGGACCCTGACTGATGCAGTACTATTCATCATAATGAGAAACATAGGAGGAAAAATAGGTATGGAAAAGATAAATTCCATTTCGGACATACTGAACTTGAAATGCTTGTGGGATGTCCAAACAGCACTGTCTGGTAGGAAGCTGAGTGTTTGGGGGTTCAAAAGCTCAAGAGAAGTGACCAGGCTGGAGAGATAGGCTTAGAATTGAGTAGTCCTAGAGCCACTAAAATCTTAGCAAATGAAGCGTGTATTTAAATGTCACAAGTCCGAGAGAGAGATTTTTTTTTAATTTTTCATATGCTTATATGTCTCATCAAGAGATCCTAAACCAATTAATCTGTATGTATGTATACAGTAGCACATTTCAACAAAAGATTTATGGTGATTTCATACTGTATATGTTCTATATCTGTTAACACTTTCAAAGTTAAATGAAGATATAATTGAAAAGAGCCAAGCCCCATTTTGTTTGTTTGTTTGTTTTGTTTGTTTTTTCTTTTTATTGAGATAGAGTCTCACTCTGTCACCCAGGCTGGAGTGCAATGGTGTGCTCTCAGTTCACGGCAACCTCCGCCTCCCGAGCTCAAGCGATTCTCCTGCCTCAGCCTCTCGAGTAGCTAGGATTACAGGCATGTGCCACCACTCCTGGCTAATTTTTGTATTTTCAATAGAGATGAAGTTTCAGCATGTTGACCAGGCTGGTCTCAAACTCCTGACCTCAGGTGATCTGCCCACCTCAGCCTCCCAAAGTGCTGGGATTACAAGCATGAGCCACATGCCTGGTCCAAGCCCCATATTAATAAGAGAATTCTAATTACCTTCCAAACTTGGAGGCCCAACCTGGTGAAGGCAGGGAGCAATTAGTCATATGTGGATGCTGACTGTAATCAGGAAAACTCTAATGGATATGCCAACATCCCAAGTAGCAGCACTGAAAACTGGTGAGCTGCTAAATTTGCATTTTATTTGAAAATGACAACTAGATAAAAATATATTTTGAAAAAGACCCAAGCTGATGCCTTCTGCTTTTTCTGAGGTATGAATTCAGTCAATAAAACTTGCCCCTTGATTCATCCATTTCTCAAGAGTTTGGATCTACTGACTACACACACACACACACACACACACACACACACAGAAATTCCATCAGCATTTTGCAAAAGAACAATTTGGAAGAGGAATGTATTAAATCCTCAGGGAAATTAAACCCAAATAATCCAATAATGGCATTACAAAATTAACACTAGACTATGAATTGAATTAATTGCCTCCTACTGCGGGATTCTTGGCTACCACAGACCAAAACAAATGAAGCCAATGATGTCAAATGCCTTAAGAGAGACCACAGGCAAGTTTGTATCACAAGAGTTCACCCACTGTGGTTTTTCAACTTTCTGGCTTGTTCTGGAGATCAATACGAAGAAAGATCTTCACTTCTGCCATCTCATGTCTCAAATTACATACGGTAGGTTGGTGAGAGATGTGAGAGGTGGCCCAGTGCTAGACACAACAGAGCAATTTTACGACTCTTTGTAAATTACCTCTAACTGTCTGTGTCTAGAAGTAGCTGGACTGTTGGAAATCCATGCAAGTCTTTTTCTCCTGAAAGGGCTGAGGGACTGGTGGGAACAAGTAAAGGTGTCTCTAGAACCCAGGCAGTCTAGTGATAAGGCAGATATTTAAGAACAATCAGCTGCTCCAAAAGAGATTCGCTTTGGCATTTCAGTAAATACGCATTTATTTCTGTAAATTCTCTTTTAATGCCATGATGTCAGCATGCCTTTGGCAATACGTGATTACCTAAATAATATGTGTCCTGGGACCAGCAAAATTAGCATGTATATGACTTACCAGGCCCCTGCTCATCTTCCTAAGGACTTTGAGAGGGAAGGAAGGATGCAGCATCTTGATGGAAAGAAAATTTTGGTGATTTACACAGCTTTACAAAATAAGACCCCTAGAGCAAATACAGAGGGTCTGACTGCCTCCAGCTTCTCCTGAGACTCCAGTTTGTCAAAATGCCTCTCGAGTATTTGCTCGTATACACATCCTTCACGTTACAGCTGACACTGACCCCTGAAGCTTTTTAATTACCAAATAGCATTTTACAAAAAACTAATTCATGGCATTTTGTTGGGATATTATAATTTTTTCACATTCTTAATTTTGCTTGACATTTTGAAAATACTATGCCTGACTCTTTTGTGCAGATTAAAGAAAAAAAAAAACCCAGCGCTAGCATGGATTAAATACTTCTTTTTCCTTCCCTCAAGAATTGACACAAACACCAAAAACAAAATACTTTTTGTTTAAGCTTAGAGAAATGAAGCATTCTGTTTGTTTGGAATCTTAATTACTATCGCCCCAAACTTACCTAATTAGAAACTCTTTTATAATGAGGAAAATTGTTTTCAAAGTTAATGAATTTGCAAGCACAAACATTGCTGTCTTCCCAGAATGAATTATTCACATTCCTTACATGCATATTTTAGTTGTACACTCTAATTAATATTAGTACTTAAAATGTGTGAGATGGATTTCACTGTTAAAAAAAACTTGCCTTTGTTTTTAGACGATATAAAAACACCACAATTTTTTTCTCCTCTCATAAACATTGGGCTGCACATAGAGACTTAATTTTAGATTTGGACAAAATGGAAATTATTTCATCAAAACTATTCATTTTATTGACTTTAGCCACTTCAAGCTTGTTAACATCAAACATTTCTTGTGCAGATGAATTAATGATGTCCAGTCTTCACAGCAAAGAAAATTATGACAAATATTCTGAGGTAAGTTTTTAAAGTCTCTCTGAGTAGCATTAATTATATAATATTAATCCTAAGTCTAATGATTTTGTAAAGAGTAAGAAGTAAGTTGGTGTGTACTCTGTTTTATTGTCAAACTTCAGCCTTCCTCTGACAATGTATACATGTGACTTGTATTATTTAGCACAGCAGCGATCAGGCTGGCTTCTGTCATAACAATTGTACTGGTGAGTATGGTACTTAGCAAGCATACAGCACATTAATAATTTTCAATCAACTCACAAGTGCATATTTGTAGTGAATGGTTGGCAGAACTAAGATGTGGATACATTTCAGCTGGACATTCAAAGTGTTTTAAACTGAAAACAAACAAAAAAAAAACACATTTATTTTGGGCTTAGCAATGACAAACTGGCCAATGTGTACTAAATCTATACCTTAATAAAGTGTCTACCCCTAGATGGTAAAATTGCAAATTGTTTTTATTTTCTTTCACATGTTTTGCAAATCTGCTGAAATTAGTGTGTATACTCATTTTACTCAAGCAATAATCAGAAAACAATCATTTAAAAATCTCCATATGGACAAGCTCCTATGGTAAAGACTAAATCTAATTAAATATTCTCTGTATTTGAGATGCTTCCTACAAAGTTGGCATATTTGTGATGCAGTAACCCATAAACCAATGGGTTCTTTACTAAAAATGTATTTTGTATTCTAATAAAAATGCAATTGGTTTCTTGAGAAAGCTTTAGAGTGGAACCCTCAGTAAGATGGAATAAAAAAAAGAAATTCACTGGGCCTCCTACAACTATACCCCAAAAACTGGCCAGCATCTCTGTTTCGATGTACCACGTTTCCATGTGCCTCTTTGGCCTTTAAAGAGAACCATGAAAAAGGAGTGGGAAGTTTCTCCAAAATCAAATTACAAAAATATATAAAATATTCCATAAACAACATGAATCAAAAAAAAACAAAAGAGAATAACTGCAGTAAAATAAACTTTTGCCTCATTTCAGAACTTCATTATGTTCCTGCTGCTTGAACTCATTGTTGTATTCACTATATATATTTTATAAATATTTTATGGTTGTCTTACAATAGTCTAGGGACAGAGAAACTAGATTGCTTTAAAAAGCTTAACACAAATTATTTATTAAAAAATTCTGCACATAAGAACACAAATTTTGTTTATAGCTTTAACAATTCTGCAGATTAAAGTCTAGATTTCAGTTAATTGGGGGCTTAAATCTATTGCTTATAACAACAGTATGTTATTGTAATGGTCATTTCTAATTATAGCCTAGAGGCTACCCAAAAAGGGAAAGAAGCCTCAATTTTGAGGAATTAAAAGATTGGGGACCAAAAAATGTCATTAAGATGAGTACACCTGCAGTCAACAAAATGCCACACTCAGTCACCAACTTGCCATTGAGATTTGGGAGGACCACTGAAGAAGAAAGAAGCGCTGGAGCAACAGCCAACCTGCCTCTGAGATCTGGAAGAAATATGGAGGTGAGCCTCGTGAGACGGGTTCTTAACCTGCCCCAAAGGTTTGGGAGAACGACAACAGCCAAAAGTGTCTGCAGGACGCTGAGTGATTTATGTCAAGGATCCTTGCATTCACCATGTGCCAATGACTTGTTTTACTCCATGACCTGCCAGCACCAAGAAATCCAGAATCCCGATCAAAAACGATCAAGGTAAATACCTGAAAACCAGTCAAAGTGCATGGGCAGTTATATAGAGGTGGTCTAGAAACTTTAAAAATGACTACACCTTTTCAACATAAGTTTCTAAGACAGTAAGTTTCCTAGAAGGAGAGGCAAAGACACAAGGAACTGAATATCTGTACATTGGGAACTATAGAAGGCCAGGTATAATAAGCATGGCTCAAGGTATAAAATCATAAGATGGCTTCCCCTAAGCCACATATGAGCATCAGTCTCATTATCCTATAGCTGCTCACTAAGTCCATGCAATGACAGGATATTGTCCGACACGGGACCTCTCCCACATAAAAAGCCTCACAGGAGAGAGTCGTTCAGGTGTAAAGGACCCCATCTCAATAATCCAGGTCTCAAACGCAGCAAGTTTTCTTTCCTGACTTTTAATCAAAGTGTTTTCTTTTTTCTGGATCTCATCTTATAAACTCTGTTATAATCATTATTTATATTAATTAAGAAATATGTATTATCTCCTATGTATACATCAGAATGTAAGATTTAAAAATTAATAAGCTACCTACCTATTATTTTACAGTAGAGAGTGTATGCTTTAAAAAAAATTTTTTTATATGAAGTAGAACATGATGCTTTAGTTAAGACTTGAAGAAAGTACAGTGGCAGACTGTGTCACCTTATCTGAGAGACCTTCTCAGGACACTCCAGGTTTGTTTTTTTCCATGGTACTTATCCCCATCTGACATATATTTAGGGTCCATGTCTTTTCCATTTCTTTTCCATGTGACTTATCCCTATCTGACATATATTTAGGGTGCATTGCCTTTATTAGAATTTCAGTCCTACAAATCCCATAATTTTAGTCCACTGCCATATCCCCAGAGCCTAAGAACTGTGTCTGCCACATAGTAAGCCCTCAATATTTGACAGAATAAATGAAATAAGAGAGGCACTAATAAGGTCCTGCAGAGTCAGAAAGGTCAGAAAAAAAGAGGATGTTTCTGTATGTGGAAACCTGCCTTTGAGAAGCAGCTTTCTCTTGAACATTCGGAGACTGGTGGGAAGAGGGAGGTCATTTTTAGGCACTAAAGCAAGGTGAGCCAAGAACAGCTGAGGCACCCTTTGGCAAGAGCAAAATGTATGCGAAGAGGAGAGAAAGAAGGCTAGACAGAGTAAGAGCAGAGAGCGCAGATATTGAGGACCTGGACAAGGACTTGGGGCACCATTCATCAGGAGAGGGAGAACCGCTGACATTTCTGCTGAGGTTCTGGGGTGTCATACAGAGGCACAATTGACAGCTAATCAGATGTTGGGAGTGGGGCGGTATGGAGGGAGAGAGATGAATCAATGATAAGTGTTTGGGCCTGAGTGCCCATCACAGATTCAGCATCTCCCCAATATCTCGCTCATGTCAAGTGCAACACAATTCAACTCAAGTATAATTAGGCAGTTAGGACTATGGCCTGTATTTGTATGGACTCTTGCATGCTGTTGTTCTGATGGGTGAGAACATTTTGCACTGCTTACATTTTAGGAGACTGGTATTCCAGAAAATGGATGATGCAGAATTGAAACAAGAAAAATAAGAAACCTGGAGCCTGTCCCTAAAGCTGTGGCCTGTAATCTACAAATGGCTCTATAGCGAAGACCACAAGGAAGAGCAGCTGCTTACATTTCATCAGCTATGGATCATCAACGGCAATTTTTCCTTGTCAGTACGATTATAATAGTATCTTGAAAGTTGTAAAAATTTAAAGCATATTTGTTATGTAAAGTTAAAAGGATTTTTGTCTGAATAAAAAAGAGCATTGCAAATGCTTTAGAAATCTCTGGTAATTGAGAGAGAGAGACAGAAGACCCTCCTCACTACCCTATATAAAAATCATAGACACGGTTACACTTAATTAAAAAAAAAATTAAACAGAAGAGCACCCTGAAAAACATTATGATGGAAATTAAATAATTTTCCAGAATAACATGGTTGACAAATAAGTGAACAAGGATTACAAATCACTTATAAACATGTTTCTGTACACCCTTTCTATCATGTCAAATGTTAATGAATCTGTGATCAATTGAAATGTAAATATCATGTAATACTACAAAATAAAAACTCTTAGACTTTAGGGAGATAAAAGAAAAAGGCAACTATGACTTACCTCTTTTAGTGTCTCCTCTGTCTACATCCAGAAATTTGCTTCTGGTGAGTTTCTTTTCTCCTCATTTAACATTTCAAGTTTTTGGTTTGCAAAAAGATCTGGCTATTCCTCAACTAAGAATTTATAAATTCAGTACCCCACAACACAAATGCACAGTGACGTGCCTTTAATCCTAAGGATATGAAGTCCTTGATCAGATATAACTAGTTTATTGAACAGTCTCAAGTCCACTGGGCGCACACAGGAAATGGTTTTATTTTTCTCCCATTGTGCCCCCCGCTGGGCTGTGTTGAATCTCCTGCCCCTGCTGATCAAAGTTCCCTTAATGATACCCTGGACATACTGCATAACTCCCTCAGTCACTTCCTGATATTAAAAAACTTTGTCAAGTCCAGTTGAAGACGCCAACCTCATATCCAAAAATAAAATGTCCCCACCCACCCCCATGGCTGGCTGGGCTGGAGGAAGGGCCTAAAGTAGGAAAGGGGCAGGTCTGCTCTTTCTCCCTTCCTCCCCTTGCTCACCTGAGAGGTAGGGTGCTGGGAGGGAACACGGTAGGCTCTGAAAAACAATCTCCCCTCCTATCTTCTCCAGGGCACAGGAGGAATGGGGATAGTGGGGATGGTCAAGAGAAGCGGTCTCCTCCTCTCTATATAAAGTTGCTGCTTCTACAAAAGCGTTCTTCGGGAAGACTTGCAGGGGCCTTCACACCGGTCACCTACCTGGGGGCTCTGGATGCTACTTGATCTCTTCCAGCTACCCCCATCTCATCTGTTCTCCCCATAGTTTTTATTGCCAGACAGAAAGGCTCAAGCCAGCCACCCTCCCAGTGCCCGCTTGATGCATAGAGAATGCAGACATCCCAGCCAGCCCAAGGGTGGACTGCAGGTTGCCACTCCACTGCCCCCCATTGTCTCCACCCCTCTTGTCCCTGTTTAGGAGGGGGCAGGCCGGTCACAAGTCTACTGCCTAAGCAAGCAGCCAGTCAGAAGTAGCATGCAGTGCGCCTGTCAAAACCCCATATTCTAGAAGTGGTTTTCTAGGAACCACTCTTACTTGGCTTCTTGGGGGAGCAGCAACTGCAGCAGGCCCCCTCCAGGGCAGACTCTCATACCTGCACGTGTTGGAAGGGCACGGCCAAGGCAGGGAGGGCTGCTGTGGCTCTGCCAGGTCTTAGCAAACCACGAGCGGGTGTCTGGCTCCTGCCATCCATGGTTCTCTTTACTTAGCATCTCTTCTAAAGTATTTAGCCTCTCTGTACACCTCCAGTTGTGGTCCCCGGTTGCCAATTCTGAGTGACAGAGAGAGTATCCTGCAACATCCTGCTACACTAATAAATAAAAGACCACCTGGTCCCGTGAGAGTGTATGACACAGGGAAACTTCTTGTTATAAAAATGGATTCTTTATCTAAGCCCCTAATCTACGGGAAATGTTAGCTGAATAGCCAACTGTTGGCTGTCCCCTCATCTGCTTGGCTTACTCTGTTGTGCCACCACAGCGGCTCCTTCACCAGCTTCCATAAGAACCCCATTCACGTAACTCAACGTGGAACTTGCGATTTTGCAGAGGATTTGCGGGATTGCATGGTGCAGCATTTCACTGGGAAAGTCTCCATCAGGCCTCTTCCGGGTCCCTCATTAACTGGACCACTGGCAAGTTCCCCTCCTCTCTGACTTCTGTTATTCACTCCAGAGTGGCTTCATGGGTGTGCAATCCCTGCAGTCACACAAAGCCCCACGCTTGGCTCAGTGCTCTGCTGTCACTGTCTTGAATTTCTTAAGTATTTCAAGGGGCCCCACATTTATATTTGCACTGAACCCTGCATATCATGTAGCCTGTCTTGCTTCCCCCAGACTCAGCCCTGCTGGATCCCACAACACCCGTGTTTGTTAATCAGAGCAGCTTCCATTTTCTACATCAAACCCAAAAGCCAGCTTCATGCAGGCCTGCGAGGTCTGTTCCATCCTACAGTGGGTATCAAATACAACTGTATGATTCATGAAGTGTGCTCAAAATGCAAATTTATTTTTGTGCCCCACTGCCGCTTTCTAATACAAGGGATGGGGAAGAGGGTGTGCAGAAACCTTCCTCTGACCCTCAGTGAAAGCTTGGCCAGATGCCATGAACTTCACCTCTCTCTTAAGTAATGTCAAGCCTTTGGCCTCTCTGAGTCAAAAACACACAGTCTCAATTCCATTGTCATCAACCTTTCAGCCTGCGTTCAGCTGCTCATACATTCATTCTGCACCCTTCCCTTGTTGAGGCCTAAGTCTGGAGACAGGACCGTGGTTGGCTTCTGTTCTCTCTTCCACCCTCATCTGCTGCTTCTCTCCCTGGCTGCCTTTTTGGACTGCACTGGGAGTTAAGAGAATTTGGGATGAGAGGAGAGGGGATGAGATAGTTCTCACCTGGATGGACTCACTCTCAGGACTCAGGGGATGGCGCTGCCAACCATTACCGGACCCTCTCCCTGCCATTCTGTCGTACTGTGAAACCTTCCAGGCCCCACCGTGGCCTCAGCCCTCAGCCCTGGGGCATGGGCATCCACTCCATACATGCTTATTTCTCTTCCGGAGTCCTCCTGAATAGGACTTGAAACATCTCCAGTAACTCTCTGCCTGCCGCAGCCTGTGGCTGGTTGTGCGCAGCTGACCCTCCACACCTGGCTGTGATCCCAAATGGCTCCTCTGTCCTGCTGCCCCCAGGCTCTTCAGCCTTTTTGGCTTCTGTTTTTCTCAACCTCATAGAATACATTTCCTTATCCTGTGGAAGCCCCTCCCTGATGAAGGGTGAGGAAGCAGTAATTCCAGACCCCTGGGCAGGGACACAGGTACCAGCTCACAGCAACGATGTAACAGCTCTCTCCAAAGGAATCTCTCCTGAACCCAAACACTATCCTTTTATTGTCTCCAAGTCAGCGAAGGAAATGAGGACTGGTGGAACCAGTTTCCAACAACATCCTTTAGAAAGTCTGCAAATAGTGATCTGACTTCGGAATTGTAGATCTATTAGTTTTGGGGGTTTGGGTTAAAACTTCACTTTTCACATCCTTTGCAACAAAGATGAATCTCTCCTTAAGCGGAGTGCTCACGGCTGCTAAAATGATGTTTTGTCTGAATCAATAAGCATATATATACATTTTTCTGGAGAGAGAGTTCATAATTCTTGTGGAGATTCTCAAAGGGGTTTGTAATCCCATAAAGTTTAAGAATCACTATAATAAAGTGTTATGACTAGAATTATTTTAAGTTAATATCTAATCCAACTTACAGACGAATACTGTTATCTGATTGGCCATTTAGGTGTTGAGAACACAATACCAGAACAATCAAAATCATTTCAGTAATTTAGCTTGAACTTCCTCCAAATACTGGCATTGACAGTGGGATAAAATAGAAGTGAGGTGGTCATTGTGTTTTTCTCCTTAATGTGCTTTTCCAGGCACTTCCTTCCAAATATCCGTTCCACCTTCTCTTCTCTTCCAACACTTCCTTTTCCCAAGGAAACTCCATCTGTACTGGTCCTAACCCAAGCTTCAGCTGGCCTGTGAAGGCAGCAGAGTGCGGGGCTTCAGAGGGACGCTGGGATGGGACACACCAACACACAGCAAGGGTTTTCATGGAAGGTGGCTTTCACGTGCTCTCAGGTCTGCATTTCATACATCACACTATGACAATGACCTTGAGAAATACAAAAAGGAAAAAAAAAAAAGTATTGACTCTGGGACAAATTTCTCAGTGAGAAAAATGAAAGGTCAGTGTTCACCTGACTGTGACCAACAAAATGAAATGGACAGGGAAGGTGAGTGTGTTGCCCTCCGTGTGTTTATTCCTTTTTTCCCCTTGAAGAGCTTCTTGGGAACATTATGTGAGGCTCTGTGACCCAAGTTTTCTTATTACATAATTAACACACCAATCCACAAGTTATTTCCTGAAAACATACACTTTCACATTTCCGTGCCTTCGTTCCTGCTAGTTCCTTCAGCTCAAAGGTCTTTTTTCTACCAATCAAAATCCTTTGAGACACAGGTCAAATTTGGATGTAACTGCATATGATAAAAACCTAAATAATACTGTTTTAACCAAGAGAAACTTTTTTTTCTCCTCACACCAAATGGTCGGGAAGGAAGCAGTTCTGGGCTGGCATGGGAATTCCACACCCTCATCCAGGATCCAGACCCTCCCATCCTGCTGCTGCACCGGCCCAAGTACACGGCTCCACCAGGCCAGCACGTCCCTTTCCAGGCAGTAGAAACAAAGGGGCCGGGTAAAGGGGTGCTCTTTCCTTAAAAAAAAAAAAAAAAAAAAAAAAAAGCCTGTTTAAAGAGCACCATCCAGTGGGGTGGAGAGCAAGGGGAAGGAGAGCATTAGGACAAATAGCTAACACACGCAGGGCTTAAAACCTAGATGATGGGTTGACGGGTGCAGCAAACCACCATGGCATATATATACCTATGTAACAAACCTGTACGTTCTGCACATGTATCCCAAAACTTACAATAAAATAAAATAAATAAAGCGCACCATCTGACTACTTCCTCTTTCATGTAATTGATCACCCCACTCTGCAGGTGAGACTGGGAAATGTCGTTTCTCCATTAGGCACATTGTCTC